CGTGTGGGGATTCATCAGTGGAGGGGGTTGTGTCAGCGGCTATCGGCGATCGCAGTCTTTTGTGGGTAAGCATCTGTGTTAAATTACGCCCTTTTCGATAGGCAACGAGAGGTGTTTCTTTGAATATGGCCTGTGTGTTGGACGATGTCAAGAGTATTTGATGGTGCTCCTTGAGGATTTTGTGGATGTTTGGCAGTGCTGGGTTGTAAGTTATTACAAGTGGTACACGGTCAGTGGAGGAAATAGGTTTGCTTGTGAGCGCTTCCTGTCTTGATTTTCTCTTTGCTTTCATGATACATTCCTTAATCAACATAATTCTTGTAACCTCGCTTAAGTAGTGTGTGCTTAAGTAGTGTGTTGTGTAGCTCACGTGCACGTTTTTCAAAACCATTATCTGAAAAGATAATCTTTAATGCCCTCCTCTGAATGGCTTTGATAAGATCTACATAGGTGATGTAAGCTCACTAAGAGATCTGATTAATGAACTATGTATCTACACTAGGTCAGTATGTTAGGGCTCTGACCTCTTAGATAATCTCCAGGCATGCAGCGTTTTGTTAGCTCTTCAAACAATATACCCAACATGCAGATTCCACTTATGGTCCTGAGATATATTTGCCTCTTGGAGCTTATAACTTGAGACTTTTTCTATGTCATTACCTAGTATCTTAATGTATCTGGAACCATAGGTTGGTATTCAAGAAAATTTACAGTCATCTCTTTGAACCTCTTGGGATTTAAGCGCATACCTCAGCTAGTAGCATAACCACAATGACCTGAACAACAAACGAAAGATACCTTCGGCTACATCTGGATATTCACTCAAACACTGTTGTGTCATCCACATACTTAGTGCGCAGATGCCAATTGTCAGCCAGCTTCTTAACCAAGTTAACAAAAAGGATAGGGTTTAGCTTTGTCCCTTGGGCGATACCCGGTTATGAGGATAGACTGGGGCAGATAAGACCCCACCGAGTAACAATCTGAGTTCTGCTGGTAAGGAAAGGATAGATCCATTTGACTAATTAAGACATTGCTCACACCCAGATGTTTAAGCTCAAGTTGTAACTTACTATGATAAACTATATCAAATCCTTTACTAAAGTCTGCAAAATAAATATTCGAATATCATTCCCAGGACAAACAAGAAACATCAGTATTAAATGCACGAGACAGAATAATGCATGGATTGTTGATTTTCCACCGATAGAAAATTGTTTACAGTCAAGCCTATTCCTTATCTGCTTAAGAGCAGCCATCAATAAATAACGCCCGGAGGGGTGCAATATGAAAAAATAAAAAATCTCCAAACTTTGCCAGAATATAGGTCTGGATGAACTATTTCTAGAAAAAAAAGCCTTTGAGTTCAATTGCATTTTTATTTTTCGCGAACGGTGGCAAAAACGGTTTTGTGGCTCTCACGTCAGCCTCACGAGGTTTAGACAACCATTATTTGAACGTCGCTTGAAAACAAACAAAACAGTAAATGTGACCAGATATTTTCCCAATGAAAAGAACACGTATTTACAAACAGTCTGAAGTGTTCTTTGTTCGATTCCGTTTCAATCAAAATTTTTGGGGAGTTTTTGGTTTTTTTCCAATATTTCACTCATTTTTGCGGACAAGAAAATGGCAAAATTGAGAGGGTAAAATCGCACCTTGGTACATGGCATGTACCAAAGTTAATCCAGCAAAAGAACAAGGTTTCTTCTTCAAATAACTCAAATAAAAATTTTTGGGCTACTCAAACTACGAAATTTTAGGACCCCAAGCAAAAGTGACTCAGAGGTCAAAACGCAGCATTCCTTGTCACGCAATTGGAGGTGAAAAATCAACAATGCGCACGTGGAAAAGATAACAGACCGCTTTGGGAGCGAAATATCGTTACCAAACTGAATAAAAAGTTAACTTTGTTCAACATTTGTCGTTTCTGCTGCTCAACTTAACTGAGATTTAAAACTTTAGCGGTTATTTTTGAAAACAAGCCAAAATGTAACAGGTGAATAAAGGCTGACATCCCCTATTCAAATCCATTTATAATACGAATTGCCCTATAACACCATGGCATCATATCAGAACATTCTATTGTTCTCATGCGAAGAATTACGATATGGTTGCCAGAGGGGACAGAACATCAACAAGACATAGAAAAGCTTTGTAAAACAGCTGTTTGATAAACAAAGAAAAAGACGAACAACAATAAGAGAGACGTGTGCATATTGTATGTGAAAAGTAGACAATTTGATGATCAACTTTCGAAGAGAGAGACGATTCAGTTAATTTTCATTGTTTCAGGCGATTGTATCACCCTTATAAACAAGCTAAATTTGTTCTTTTACTTGTGTTCAAGGCTTTCCAATAACAGGAGCAATTGAAAGAAGCAGCCATCGAATCAGGGGTCTTGCAAATGCCAGATGATTTTTTAGAGCCAGACTTTCGTAATGAGTGTGAAAGGATGATTCCTGACTACGAAACGATAAAACCACATGAATGCAGAGCTGCTTATATGTATATGAAACAACATTTTAATAACTCAT